GTGTGAGGTGTGTAGGCTGTGTGAGGTATACAGGCTGTGTGAGGTGTGTAGGCTGTGTGAAGTGTGTAGGCTGTGTGAAGTGTGTAGGCTTTGTAAAGTTTGCCTGTTGCCCGCCTCAATGGTACTAGGTACAGGTGAATCATAAATCTCATCCCTGTGCCTGAAAACAGATACAAGCAAGTTCATCCCAATGGCGGTTATTTTTGGTCTATGGGCTCTTTATGCTAGTATTGTTTCATTCATTTTATACCAATGTTGCATTTCTATTCACACAATGTTTGGTCCTGTTCAATTGCCTTTAATCTGCATATTTCAAATCCTGCTGCTGTCCTCAGTTACATCCTTTACTGCCATCACTGTGTTGGTTCTGTCTACAAATTTAGCATAACATTTGGTTTAAGTGTGCAGACTATTTACATAAAGCATCAACACAGATTCAAGCATTAACCCCTTTAGAATGCCAACTAACAGCACTGCCCTAACCTGACTGAATGCCTTTCCAGTCTCCTCTTTTTGCCTTTACAGAATCACAGAATTGTGATGGCACAACAGGAGGCATTTGGCCCATCACAATATCACCAGCTGTTCAAACATGCATCCTTACCTCATGCCATCTTTTGTTTTCCTCCTCATACCATTCACATCATTTTTACTGAATTCTCTTGAATGCCTCAGTTGAACGTGCCTCCATTAAACTTCCAGGCAGCACATTCCAAACGCTAACTATTTGCTGAATGAAAATGTTTTTTCTGACTTCAACCATTCTTCTTTTGCAGATCCCACTCCTTTTACAAAGAGGACATCTTCTCCCTATCCAATCTATCCAGCCTACTCATGGGCTATGAAAATCTCTATCAGATCACCTCTCAGCCTTCTTCTCTCCAAACAGAACAGTCTCAACTTCTTCAATTTATCTTTGTAACTGAAGTTCCTCGACCCTGGAACCGTTCTTGTAAGCTGCTTCTGCACTGTCTCCAATGTACGCATGTCCTTCCTATAATGTGGCACTCAGAAGTATACACAGTACTCCAGCTGAGGTCTAACACGTGTATTTTACAAGTTCAACATTGTCACCTAACTCTTGTACTCTACGTACCTGTTAGTAAAGTCAAGGATACTGTAAGCTTTACTTACTGCTCTCTCCATCTTTCCTGCCACTTTCAATGATCTGGGCACAAATACACCCATGTCCCTCTGCTCCTGCATCCACTTCACATTACACCTCCCTGTTTTCTATTGTCTTTCGATGTTCTTTCTATCAAAATGCATCACCTCACATTTCTTAATTTTTAATACTTTGCGCTTTTTAAATTAATTAACCAACAGAGACACTGCCAGGGGCTTTAGATTAATTATAAGTCTTTCATGCAGAACTTCACTAACAGCTTTCTAAATATCCAAATGAGATCCATCAAATGGAGTTTCATTCTTTATTTACTGGCCCTTTTCTTAAAAAATGTTGGACAAGGTACTTGGTTTTATAGCTGATTCAGAGATACCAATTGTATCTTGAAATTAAAAATTCCTTACACAATGAAACAAAACCATTCAAATTGTGTGACGTTTACTCTGTAAACTTACGCAATAAATATTCAGCAGTGTCCTGCTCATAGTCTGCATCCTCTGGAAAATGATCAATTATTTTGCAGATTCCTTTGAAGGTACCTGTTTGGAACACACAGTTTAGAAGCCAGCACTTAAGTATGTATAAAAATAGATACACAAGAACATTTTTTCAAAATCAAAATGTCTCAACCTGAAAAAACAAAGTGAAATTAAACTGTGGTCTGTTATCATTTCTCACATCTAGAACTTGACTTTGCAGAGAGTCTTTGCATTACTTATCACAGATCCATTAGTGCCTAGGGCCTCTTTCAAAAATGCAGCTGGAGCTGAAGGCAATGCAATCATCATTTCAGCACTAATCCTGCTCCTTTGTTGTTTCCTAGTTGCAATCACTCTCCATTCTCTTTCTCTGTATGTTCTGTTCGTCTTTGTCTTCAACCTCTCCATTTTCTTATGTTTTTCCTTTCATAATTCTTTTCCTTTGTGATCTCCCTGTCTCCTAATTTTCTCTCACTCCATTTTGTTCCTCCATTACCTTCTGTGCTCTCTTCCCACTTCTCTTCCTCTCCCAATTCTCTTTCCTTCCCCCTCCTCTAATCCTCTGTCACTGGATTTCTTTGTACCCTTTTAGTAACTTCCTTTTAATACAACGACCAAGTGTTATAGTTCTGAGCAAAATGTTTATTGATTAATTGCAAACATTTGTGATGCTTTAAACTGGATATAATATATAATGAGGAGGTTTCACTCCCCATTTTAATTACAGACACCTTCAATCATGAAAATGTAATTTGCCATCTGACCTCAGGTGCTTGGAGTTTAATTTTTGTGTCATCTTCTTGCTTAATAACATCAACAAATAGCATCTTTGTTTGAAAAACAAGAAAGGAAGTGTGATTTAAGCTTATTTAAAGCATGGTGATAGGAAAAATACTCCAGGCTTCCTGAAGTTGTTATTTGTAAAAGGAAGAAGGCTCAAGCAGGTATAGACCATCAAAATCTATCAATCTCAGACTTGAAAACTCCAATTATCCCTTAATATTTACTTTAGATATTTTCCTGATTAACCTGTTCGGGGATGTTATTACACACCTCTGGAGCTGGTGGGATTTGAATCCAGGCTCCAACGAAGCTCAGCGCAAACTGGGAGAACAGCACTTCATTTACCACTTGGGAATGCTGCAGTGTTCTGGACTTAATGCTGAGTTCAACAATTTTAGGGCTTCAATCTTTCCCCATACTTTTCACCACCCCCACACACCAGGCCTTGTCATCACTTGGACTGCCACGAAACACAACCCATTATCAGCTATTAACCATCCCCATTAGTAGCTATTCATTCTCTTAGGCTGGTCTTTATCCACTTCTTTGTCTGTCCAACTGTTTTTCTCTTTTTTTGGGGCTATATCTCCACCTATCATTTACTCCTAACCCCTCCCCTATGCTTTCTTCTGCAAAAAGCCTTGCTTTACCTAGCATCCATTAGTTCTGAAGAAGGGTCACTGGACCTAAAACTTGAACTCTGCTTTCTCTCCACAGGTGCTGCCAGACCTGCTGATATTTTCCCACAATTTCTTTTTTAGTTCCGTATTTCCAGCATCCACAGTACTTTTGTTTTTTTTTAATCCAGGCCTTCTGACTCGGAGGTAGGGACACTACCACTACATCACACAAGTCCTTAGTATTCACTTTATAAATTAAACAGATAAGTGAGTAAAATAAGGATGAAGAAATTTGTTTAATAGCTGCCATTTGCAGTATCTTTTTGGAAGCTGTATATCTGACTACTTAAATTTGTTGTATTTTAGATTACTAATATAAACCATAGGACTCCATAGTCCAGTCAGTCTAACCTTGCCATTGGGCGAATTATTGGAAAAACCTCTGAAAGACAGTATAAATTATCACTTTCAAAGGCACAGATTAATCAAGGACAGCACGGATTTTTTTGTAGCATACATGTGTTTCAGCAAAGCTTTGGACAAGATCCCACAATGTAGATTTGGTTAATGAGATCCTTGAAGGAGTGGTAAAATGAATCCAACATTTGCTAAGGAATAGGAGGCAAAGGGTAATGGTTGACAGGTGAATTTGTGACTGGAAGGCTATTTCCAGTGGAGCTGTGCAGGCTCAATGCTGATTTCCTTGCTATTCAGAGTATGTATAACTGATTTAGATTTAAAGAAGGGAAATTGTTTCAGAATCTGCAGGAAGATATCAAGTACTAGGCAAGTGGGCATAAAAATGGCAAATGGAATTCATTCAGAGAAGCAAGACATCACAAAACCAAGTGATGAAAGTCTCAATATTTCACACTTGTGTGAAGGTAGCAGGGCAGTGGGATGATGCCATGCAGTGTGAGGGTCCCAGAAAGGGTGCAGTGGAAATTTACCAGAATAGTCTCAGTAGTGAGAGACTGAAGCTACAAGAATAGTTTGGAGAACTTGGAATTATTCTTCTTACAGCAAAATCAATTTGTTAAAGGTATATGGGATTACAACAGGGGGTTTGGATAAGGTAGACCAGGAGAAGCTGTTCCCATTGGCTCAAGGTACAAGACATGAGGTCACAGAGTTATGGTTTTGGGCTGGAGATGCAGAGTGAACAGGAAGAACCTTTTTACACAGCAAGCAATAATGAGCTGGAACTCACTGCCTATATGGGGGATGGAAGGAGAGGAGATCAATGATTTCTAAAGGAAATTGGATGGGTACTTGAAGAAAATAAACTTTACAGGATTATGAGAATGAAGTAGGAGTTTAAACCTGACAGGTTAAATGGGCTCCTTCTGTGTCATATACGACTAGAGAATATATCATTTTTTTTGGCTGAGATATAGAAAACAAAAGTGGGGACATAGAAATGTATGAAATTCCAGTTAAACTGCAGCTGGAGGACAGCATATTGGTCATTCCATTGCAGGAAGGATGTGATCATATTAAAGAAAATACAGAGATTTACAAGGTTGTTGCTAGGATCAGAGAATTTTACTTATGAGGAGAGATTGAATCAGCTGGGGGATGCTTTCTTTGGAACATAGGAGACTGAAGCGAGATTTAATTGAGTGAAATAAAATAGCAAGTGCCTAGATAGACTGGGTATGAAGGGATTATTTCATTTAGCAAGAAAGTCAATAACTGGGTGTAGATTTTAAGAAAATTGAAGGACAATGGCAGGGGGAGGTGTTGAGGAGAAATATTTTCACGCAGAAGATGGTGGGAATTTGAAACTTACTGCCTTAAAGGGTAGTTAATGGAGGAACCCTTAACATTTAAAAAGTAATTTGATTTGCAATTTAAATGTCGTAGCTGCAAGGTTACAGACCAAAAGCTGGCAAGTGGGATTAAGGCTGGTGGCTCCTCTACCATCTGCACAGGGCACAATGGGCCAAATGACTGACTTTTTTGTGCTGTAAATTTTCTATGTTTTTGTGACTGAAAGTGCCAGGACACATAGCGTGAGAATTTTACAACTGTTCTTGGTTTTAACTATTTGCAAAGTTGAGCCTTTTCAATTTATGGTGATTTAATTATCCCTGGTCAAAACAGATGCTGTTTGTCAAGTCAGTTGAGTAGTTTGTGTGTGAATTTACAAACCATCGATTAGCTGAACAGCAGAATTTTTTTCCTGGAACTGAACTTTGGATAGAAATATATTTGGATCCAAGAACAATAAATATTCCATATCACACAATTCAGATAACTTTGAACTTTTACTGGAGTTAATTGGTGTCATGTCATGGGTGATGCAGGCTATCTGTGAACCACTTCATTTAGGAATGGGTACTCATGCAGTTGCTGGAGGATCACAATACAGTGACTGCAATAAAACTCCTTTATTTCAGTGTTGAGAATTGGCATACTTTGAGCACAGGCATTGAGCATTCTCTCCCAAACTCTGCTGATGTACTTGGGTAATTGATGGAGCTGATCAGCAGTTTAGACAGATGTTTCCTTCTCCTAAGCTGATTGCTTTGCAAACCCATGTTTGGCACCTTCGGATCATTATTTCCCGATCCAAATTTTACCCTGTCTAGGCCTTCATATGACTCCATTCCTACACCAATGTGGTTGACTCCTGACAGCCCTCTGGAATAATCTAGCAAACCACCTACTCAGGGCAACATGTAATGAGCAATATATACAGACCTTGCTAGTTTGACCCAAATCTCAAAATGGAATAAAACTCATTCACCTTGTCTACCCTCCTACCCTTTTGCTGATATCAGCCTGAGAGTCCTATCAACATTAAAAAGCTGTTTCGTGACCCAAAATGTTATAGAAATCAATATGAATAAGTTTAATGTGTTTTTTAATTCTTGCCTTAGTGGGGAAAGGCTGATAGATTTGACGTTTTCAGAGAGTCTGCTGGGGTCTGTTCTTTTAGACAGAAGCATTTTCACTGAAAGAGTGACTGTGTGCAGCTGTCACTTTGGCAAGTCAGTGTCTCAGGCTGTCAGTGATTCATGACCTGGTTTTATTATCATAGGGAGGGACTTGATTCATTTAATAAAACCTCAGGCCACACACACAACCCAATGTATGTGACTCACCAGCTGACAATAATACTCAGCGTTCAATAATGATTACATTAATCGACCAATTTCAGTGGCAAATTTAGTTGACTAACTTTGTGACTTTCATTAAAGTAATCTCTTTTGCCAACTGTGATGGAATATTCAATAACAATTCTCATGTATTGCTGGCGGCAGATGGAGAACTGCTCCAGATCTTTCAATACACCGACTGGTCAATTGATCACAAAGGAGCAACAACTAAAGGACTCTGTTCAGTCAGTTGGAATCTTCTTGTAACAGGCTAACAGGAGGCATGTGCTGACAGAGGTGAGCTAGTTAGGGGCTGACAAAGAGATTAATTACAGTATTCTTACATGTCTGAATTGATATTTCTTTCCTGGATAGAGCTTGAGAACACTTAGGGATAATGAAAGAGCAAACAATCCATCAAAGACCACCCCTCTGGCACTTCAGCTGTCTCACTCAAACCCATCTCCCTGGTACGTTAACCAGCAGTGAGTTAACATGTTTTTCTGAATGTGGGGAGTGGGGCTCAAGGCTACAACTTTATGACATTAGACTC